GCTAGCTAGGGAGGAGGGTACTGGGAAGGGCAGGGGGGTTGGTGACCTACCACTTTTTGTCGGAAGCCTTTCATTGTGTGTCGGCGCCAATGGAATGGACGTGTGAGCGAGCCAATGCCGCCCTCTGCAAGGGAATCGCTTCCCGGCGGTACAGTGCGCTACTCGCTTGCTGGCTCTTTCCCGCGAGTTGGTGCGCAGTTGCCGCTGTCGTCTAGCTTTACAGGGGGCGGGTGGCGGTGTCGGTGGAGGGTAGGGAGAGATGGAGGGGGTTCAGACGGCCATGGGTGTGGGTGGTGAGGTGGGTGGTGGGTCGGCGCAGGAGCGGCACAGGGGTGGGTCGGCAATGGGTGGATTGAATCCTGAGGCTCTGAGGCTGAAGCACGTGACTGGGTGCAGCAAGAGTGTAGGTGGTAGCAAGGACATATACGAGGTATCGAAGTCGCAGTGGTCCGCGGGCGTACCTTATTATCCTTCAGCTGTGTTGTCTTTTGTTCGTCCTTCCAGTTCCTCAGGGACAGCAACGTGCGGGAGAAGCCGTTGTGTGTGAGGCTTCCGGCGGGGTCCAATCCAACGCTGTTCCATCACCTCCATTCGCGCCATCCAAGGCTCTTGCCTATTTCAACGACGTGCATGAATGCATAATTGCATAAACAGGCGAGGTATGCGTCAATATCAAATCTCCGATATAACTTACACGTTACGTGTATGGTACCTGGCAACAGCAGGCGACGGCGGGACAGCGTGACCAAGGATGGTCTCCATGTCGATGGCGCGAGCTGGGCAGGGTATAGATGGTCCTGATGCTCCGATCTACGACGTCCCCGACCAACGTGTCGTGAGTATCGAGCATCCATGCATCGTCAAGAATCTTGATCGGGGCCTCAAATCGTTGGGTGGCGAGGCACAGATCCAACATGTAAGTTGCATGTATCAGCATCGTTGCACCTTCATGTTCACCCTTCCCATCTTTCCCACTTCAGTTGACTGACTCACAAGAAAAGGTACTCGACCATACAGTCGGTGATAGCCAAGTCAAGGTGGGAGGCAAGACAAATATATACCCCGAGCCTGTCCTTGGCGTCTCCCTACGACCCGACGACCTGCTTGCCAAGAAGATGTCTTCCGCTGGTGTAGAGACGAGCAACATCCTAGTCAGGGTCACCCTTCCCAAATGGACAGGTCGCAAGCGGAAGAGAGGCTCGGACGAGCCATTCGCTTTCGTGGACCCGGCTGAGCAACAGCGCACCAGTATCAAGGCCCCGGCTCTCCTACGGCAGCTCCGCGACAACAAGGCTATATACCAAGTGCAAGCCCTAGGTATGATCCGAGAGACGCATCGCTTCCGCAGCCAGCCCGATCACCAGATGCACGGTGGCGATTTGCCTCTCTACCGCGAAATTAGAGACCACGTCCTCCCCCCAAAGTACTCCAGTCTGCAAAACTTTGATATCGACCTCAACCCGTTCACCCGAGGAAACGCCGTCTATCCCTTGCCACCCACCATGAACGCCATCGACCAACCCTACCAATACAAATACCGACAAGCCTACGGCGTCGTCTACAAGTTCGACTCCGAAGGCAACCCCGTCTGCGAAACCTCCCACATCGGCTACAAACGCGTCGCCG